ATCTATTCTAGGGGTAGGGGGCTTGACAGTGATGTACAGCAGGTGGTTTTACTGTGATGGACAATGACTGTCATGCCTTCTATACAGTCCTGTCCCAAATGGGAATGCTTTCCATACACAACATTTTTTTAAGCCACAACCCAATGTCTCAGGGCTATTGCTAACTCTTGCTCAGGGATCATTCCTGATGGTTCAGGAGACTGTAAATGGTGGAGGATGTTGAACTGGGTCAGCAAGTGCAAAGAAAGCACCTTGCAAGCTGTATTATTCCTATGGTCCAGGACATTGAGAAAAACAGAGGTAGAACTTCCCAGGATATGGACATCAAAGGTGACTTAACTGATTTAACTCAATTGCCAAAGTTAACAAAACAAAAATAAACAAATAGGACTAGATAAAATAAAAAAAAAAAAGATTTCACATGGCAAAAAAAAACAGGTTAAATAAAAACATACCCTACTAACCTGGAGAAAATATTTATACACATGTATCATATAAAGACTTAATGCCCAAGATACTTGAAGCACTAATAGAGCCCAACAACGAAAGACCAATAACCCTATCAAAAATTGGGGGTTTTGCTGCAAATCAAAATGATAATTGGATATATCTTACACCAGTTAAAATGGCACATATCTGGAGACTAGAAGAAACTAACATTGCATGGGATATGAGGGAAAAAGAACACTTTTTCACCACTGGTGGGAATGTCATGTGGTTCAGCCTCTGTGGAAAACAGTATGGCGAGGTTGTCAGAAAAGAAAGACTGGAGCCTCCACATAATCGAGCAATTCCACTTCTTGGCTTCATGGCATCTACCTTCAAAACATAAATCTACAAAATTATGTGCACATCTATGTTCATCACAATGCTTAAGAAATGGACAGGATATTTTTTTTAAAAAAGCAAACGTTCAACAACAAATGAATGTATATAGAAACTGTAGCATGCACACATAATGAATACCAAGTGGCAGTAAAAAAGTGAAACCATACAGTTCACTGCTACTTGAATAAAACTGGAGGGTATCAGATGAAATAGAATACGTCAAAGGGGTAAGAACAAATATCAGTTGATTTCAGTGATTTTGGATATACAGAGAAACAAAACAAGGGAATAGACAGGCTCAAACAATGAGACATTATTTGCCTTGGATTATAAAATGCTACACCAAATGTAGGGGACAATGAAGAGGTGAAGTAGAAGTAACATCAAGACATCAGTAGAGGATTTTTGGCACCTTAATGCGGTAAGGTGAACTGGGTACATCAAAACCATAAAAGTGAAAACTAATGTAAATATGTTACCCGGACAAATAGTAAGAGTACTTTAATTGCAAAAAAAGTTTAAATTTGAATAAAATTCACTAGAATTATAATAACACAAACTCACCTGCCCTAGTTTATGGTAAAAAAGGATATGATTTTATTCTAATTGAACGGTAAATAATACCTGCCTTAGCATTTAATAGTGTAAAAATTAGTTTTTTGCTGTTGTAATATATTCTTGACCTGAAAGAATTTCCCCTGAAACACATTTTATTTTGCAAAAGTATTAACTCCAAGTAGTATATTGAAAATTGTTGTGAAAAGGTAGAAATAATCAGTCCTAAGTCAAAAGAACAGTTTTGACACATCTAAATTGATTTTAAGTAAATGGGCAAAACACAAACAGTATACTACTTTATTAATACAAAAATTATCCCTCCAGCTCTAGAAAGAGAGCACAGAGGGTGGGACATTTGCCTTGATGTAGCCAATATGAATTTAATCCCCAGCATCTTTTATGGTACCCAAACCTGGCCAGGAGTGATCCCCGAGTGTGAGCCAGAAATAAGCCCTAAGTACGACTGGATGTGGCCCACAAACAAAACAAAAAAAATTCTTGCACTATCATCAGCACAAAATTAATTTTCTTTAAAATGAAAATATTTGGGCTGCTGGGGTAGTATAGCAGATATGGCACTTGCCTACACTCGGCCAATCCAGGTTTGATCTCCCTATATCATCTCCCCACCCCCACCAGATGTTACAACTGACTGCAGAGCCAGGAGTAACTTTTGAGTATCCCTAGGTGTGGCTCCAAAAACCAAAAAATAAAAAGGAAAGAAAAAAATCTTCATTTTGCTACAGAAAGAGCTTACAAACGTGACAGGCCACATAACCTAGCATGTATTTTCGAAGGAAATGATTCTAGGTATAATGCTTCTCTGTAGGTAAAATCATGGTTGTGCAGCTTTGTTGGGTGGTGGTGGGAAGGGGCAGGAGGGTGGTGAAGGCTTCAAAAATATGGTATGTGAGGGAGCAAGCAATAGTATAGTATGCAGAGCATTTGTTTTGCACATAACCAACCTGAGTTCAATCCCTAGCACCCCATAAGGTCCCCCGGAGCCAGATAGGAGTGACTCCTCATGCAGAGCCAAGAGTTTGCCCTGAACGCAGCCAGGTATACCCCCCATATACACACAAGAAAAAGTAGGATATGTATATTTTCTCTAGTGACCTCAACACACGTAATCATTACCACAGATTTTACATGGCCTCAGAATACAAAAACACATGAGAAGGCTACCTGCTGTGGTTCTGCTAAAGTTATGGAGAAGAGATGATGTCTTGCTTTACAATGAAAGGCTTTTTAATAAAAAGAAAATGCATCAGTGATTCTGCATCTGGTATTGGTATGACAAATACTTGTCTCACTTCATCACAAGTAGTCCTCCACATTCTAAGTTTTTTGTTTGTTTTGTTTTGTTTGTTTATGGCTTATTACTGACTCTGAACTCAGGGAATCACATTTAGCGGGGCTCCAGGGATCACGTGCTGTGCAGGGGATTGCAGTGGGGTCAGTCATGTGCTAGACAATCGTCATACCTGCTGTGCTTTTTCTCTAGCTCCTCTGATTTCTTTATTTAATTACAATTTAGATTTGTAAATCTAACTCTGAACTGCACAGCTCCACATACTTAAGGTTTTAGTGGAAATGGAGCCATCTGACTTTTTTTTTTATTAAGACAACAAAGTCAAAAATATCTAGAATCCTCCTATCTCTTTAGTAATACAAGTAATTGCTAACTCTAAAATTTTCTAGCATTTAATACCAAAAAAGTCCTTAATGGTAACAGCAATCTTTTCCTGAACAATTTTCTTATTTTCTATAAACCCACTCTCACATCACTTCTTTTAAAGTGGATATTATCTTCAGTTTAGGAAGAATAGATTCAGAAATTAAATAATTAGCTCAGATGCAAAGAAAGTCAAAGAATGATGAAGGCTTAGGTGTTTTTCTACTCCAAAGTCACATCTTTTTGAAGAGCACCAAGTTTAGAAAGAACATGCTCAGAATTAAAGCGAAAAAAATGGATGTGGTGTTGATAAATGTGGTAATGAGATCTGTTTTTAAAAACTGACAAGCACTTAAATAAGTTACTGACATTAAAGACTTTACTGACAAAGTAGTCCTGCCTTAGATTTACTGCAGCACAATGCTGGTGCTGTAGACAAAGGAATTTGATGAATAAAGTTATATCTTTTGTTGCAATAACTCCCAAAATTCAGATGTGAAAAACAAAATAATGACATTAACATGCACTTATACTGAAATTGACTTCGCCTAGTTCTCTGGATTTCCCCCTGAAAGATTTAATTGGTTGATAAAAGTGAACGCGTGGTAATAGAAATGACATGTGCGCACACATGATACGAATTTCATACTGCATCTGACACCCAAACTTAAGCTACAGTTCCTTAAACACAATCCTCATCCTTCTCTGGATGTGGTTTGATGTGGTGGTAGCTTTAAACAAAACCTCATCACTTCTAAGAAATTATGAGGAATCTCAAATAATCTATGAAAAGAAATATTTAAGGCTAAAGTATAAGAAACACTTAAAGAAATCAAGTGTTCTCAGCCAGCAATCCCTAACCTAGAATTGTTTCAGAAGAAATTAAAAAAAAAAAATAGTAGCCATGCTCATTATGTAAGAAATAGGTCACATTATAAGCATTCACATTTTTGTAAGTAAAATTCTTCAACTAAATCCAATGAGATTTTTAATGATTCCACTTTTAATTAAATACGGTGTATTCTAATTATTGTTTGTCAATACCATAGAGAAAGACGAGCACAAACCGATACTTTAAAATGCATGGTGGCCTGAGGGTTGTGGCTAGGCTGCAAAGCCCCGGAGTGATTTTTCAAGATGCTCGGACGGTCGGTCCAAGCCGTGGCCTCCAAGGAGTTTCACGACCGACCGAGATCTCCAAGGCAAAGTTAGGAAAATGCAAGCGCTTCCCGGCCCCATCCTCCCGTTCCTCCCGCGCCCGCGGTGGCCGCGTAAGGACGGATTGGGTGGCCACAGCAGAGGCACGCAACCCGCGGAAGATCTCCGCAGCCACCTCCGCTGCGGGCCACCGCTCCTGCCCGCACATCCCGGACGGCGTGGCTGGGAGCCCCGCGACACCACCGCAAGGTCACCAAGGGAAAAGGCGACTTTACATAATCTCCCGCCCCGCCGTCCTGGCATCTGCGCGCCGCGGGCAGCCGCGGTCCCCCTCGCCTCTCCTCGCCTCACCCGTGCGTGGCGGTGCGGGGGAGCGCGCGCGCGCCCGCCCACGGGGCGGGACGCCGGGGACTCGCGGGTGACCGGGATGGGGGACGGGAGCGCGGGCTCCCAGATCTGGAAGACACACACACACACACACACACACACACACACACCGGGTGGGGGACGGGTGCGCGGGCTCCCATCCCTGGAACACACACAGACACACAGACAGACAAACAGACAGACAGACAGACAGACACACACACACACACACACACACACACACACACACACACACATCTCGGCTGCGGGGCCCGGCGGGCGGGGCGGGAGGTGCCCGAGAGCGAGGCGCGGGCCGGGGTCCCCGCGCGCCCCACGGCGGCCGCCAGCGCGCAGCGCGCCCCTCGCGGTGGCGCCCGGGACCGCCCCGCGGCGCACCTGTCACGAGCGTTTTTACCTGAGTGGCTTTGTGGAATTGCTTCTTCAGCCCGGCCACCGACATGGTGCGGGGAGACGCGCCGGACGCGGACGGCTGCGAGTGCCGGGAAGGAGGCGGCGGCGGAGCGGGCCGGGAGGGCCGAGCCGCCGCTCGTTGTTCGGCCGCCGGGGCTGTGGGCGCGGGGGCGCGGAGCGGCGCGGGACGCGGGCTCGTGCGGAGAGACACCCTGACGTCAGGGGCGGGTGCTGAGGCCTCTTAAAGGGGACGCGGGAAGCCCCGCCCCGGGCGCGGGGCTGGCGGGGCAGGTGCTGGGCTTCACGCGAGCTACCCCGGTGCTGGCTTCCGCCGCTGGCACCTGGTTCCGAGGCACTCGCGGGCCAACGGCCTGGTTCGAAAACCAAGGGCGTTCCTGGGTGCGGACGGCTGGCGGATGTCGTTCGTGACCCAGTGGACTGCGGACACGGGGTTGGCCCGTCGCTGCAGTTTGGCGGGCCAGGAAAGCCCGCACGACTCAGGTGACTTGCTTGGCTTCCAGGTAGCCGCAGAGACGCTGTTTGCAGCCGGCCTGCCTACACTTTGAGCCTGATCTCTGCAGCTGGGAAAGGAGGAGTGGCTTTCTATCTGGGGTAATGAATAAGTCATTGCTCATTCTCTACCCGGTTCCTGCTGCCCTGGGCATAGAAAACATTCCTCTGCCCTGGATTTAATATCCCTTAAGACTGCGTAGAGTTAAGCAAGCCCACCAACATTTTTCTTGTGATTGTTCTGATACAAATTAACACTTAAGAAGGGGAGAAAACTCTTTAAAGCTATTAAGTAGACTGAAGTGGGATATTAGTTAATAATAGAATGAAGTGGGATAATTATGATAGAATTTCATCCTGCATTCACAGATAAGGAAAAGCCCAAGTATGAATTTGGCACTTACTTGTGATAGGGGGGTTAAGGTTTTCAGTCTAGGGACTAGTACATAGGGATTAGTGGGTAGGATGCTTGACTTGCAGGTGGCCGACCGATGGCCTACAGGGGTTCTGTCCCTGACACTACAAATCAGCCATCACCCCAGCACCACTAGGAGTGATCCTAGAAAGAATCCCTGAGTACCATTGTGGGTGTCCCCCCCCTCAACAATAATAAAGGTTTTAAATCTAAAATAAACATTATATAATGTGAAAAGACATGCTAAGTTGTACAAATATCATATATGTAACAAGCTATAAATAGCCAAGTTAAAGCTAAAACTGATGAAATTAGGTTAATTGGTAGCAGAGCGGAACAAGGTGTCTTCAGTATTCTGGTAATTAGCCATTATCTCTAGTTTTGCTAGGACTGAGCAGTACATAAGGAAAAAGTTGAAAGAGCTGGAGCAATTGTAACAATAGCGCAGTGGAATGTGTACTAGTCTTGCACAGGGTTGACCCAGGCTTGATACCCAACACCCATATGGTGCCTTGAGCTGGAAGTGCAGAGTCAGGAGTAGGCTCTGAGCAATACCAGATGTAGCCCAAACCTCCCCACAACCAAAAATTAGGAAAGAATTTGAATGATTCCGCCATGTGGGCACTAAAGCTTTAAGAAGAGGTCAGGGTGACTGAGAAATATTGCCAAGGATTAACAAGAATACGGTATGGTAGAATGGAAGGACCAGAAATATTTTTCATAACCTTCACCACCAGCACTGCCTGATAAGAGCCAGAGACCCCACCCTCATTCTGTCAGCCATGCCTCCTGAGCATAAGCAGAACATCTGATAGAAAGAAGTGATCAGTTCCTTGGCCGGGCTGTCCTAGTCCTTCAGACAATGTAAAGTAAAACACACAAAAATACAGTAAAACAGATAGTGGTGGATAACAGCAATAAAAGCCTGTGTACTAGTGATCCAGTCCTGAGACAAGTAGACAAAAGGAGCAGATCTCCAGTGCGATAGTAATTACTGATGTCTATGTGCCTTTCAGGCACCTTGTAGAATTGCTCTTTTCAAAACACTTAACCATATGGTTAAGTGGAGCAGGTCACTCTGATAGCTTTAACAAGTGGATTAGGAAGGAAAGTGACTGTCACTCTTCCACCTAGAATGTAACATTGTAACTTGGTATGGAATGCTACAAAGCTCTTATAATCTTTTTGGTCTATTTGTTGGTCTGTCAAGCAGAATACAGAATGAGGTCAAAGTCCCCATATGATGCTCAAAAAATATATCAGGGCCAGAGATACCACAGGGAGTAAGGTATTTGCCTTGAATGTGGCTGACTCAAATTCAATCCCTGGCACCATATATGGTCCCCCTGAGCACTGCATCAGGAACAAAAAATGCCCTGAGCATAACCAGCTGTTGTTCAAAAACCAAAAGACAAAAATTAAAACACATGTCACATAAATGAAAAATACACCAGAGTAATTTTAATATACTTTGTCTTGTGGTATTAAACTGGACAAACGAGTCTATGCAGAATGATAGCCATAGAGAAAAATACTTTCCACAGAAAATGAAAGGTGACATTACAGTTTTTCCTGTGACCATGTTTATTTGGGTTTATGTCATTAGGTACCCATAAAGTGCCCTAATTTTTCTTGCAAAAAAAGGACCATTGAAGTTTGAAGAGGCGCAATCTTTTTGTGCAGCCTCATTGAATGAACAGGTAGTATCTGCCCACCTCCTCATCTCCGGCAGACTCAGAGGGAATTTTGACTCTCCATTTACCATGCCTGATCTCTTGCCCTGTTTTGTTTTGTTGTTTGCTGTTGTTATTTCACCAAAGAGAATAGATAGTCTAGTGACTCATAGGGAATTTTAATGGAATGTCAGAGCAAGGAACATAACAGCATGTCTGAGAGAAACATCAGACAAGGAAAGATGAAAGTCCTGCTGATAGACAAGCAGGGCTACTGATCCATCGACATCCTGGACAAACCATTAAAGTGAATATTCTGTGGCCGCATGAGTTGGCAGACCAGTGATACATTTGAAACTACAAGGCACACAATGTTAATCCTAGAATCTTGACATTAGGAAATATAGTCATTGGTCTTGCTTCACAAATAGTTTTGTATGCTACAAAAACGTGGTGGTTAGTGTTACCATGAATTTTGTACTCTATAGATTGGTGAAGACTGCATACACAGACATATAGTAATTCATGAAAAGACTATCATTCAGCCCAGTATGAAACTAATAATGTTTATGCTGCTGAGCAATTCCCAGGCTTTCATATATATAGAAATACTGATTTTTGTAGAAAAGTCTGTTTGAAGGGAGATAAAATTCCACAAAGTAGAACAAGGACTTTCTGAACTCTTGTTTCTCACTGTAAACAGTGTGAAATGGGAACCTGAAAATTTTCCTCAGAACTTTGAACATTTCATTGAATCCTAACTTAAATTTAAAAAAGTCTTTGTATGATCCCAATTCCATATTCAACAACTTATAAAGCCTATCCTTCTCTATTTCAAATGAAGTACATTTGGAAACCGCTTTTATTTTTTTTTTTTTACTTTTTTGCTTTTTGGGTCACACCCAGCCAATGCTCAGGGGTTACTCCTGGCTCTGCACTCAGGAATCATTCCTGGCGGCGCTTGGGGGACCATACGGGATCCTGGGAATCGAACCCGGGTCGGCCGCATGCCAGGCAAATGCCCTACCCGCTATGCTATTGCACCAGCGCCTGGAAACTGCTTTGAAATCCCTTTGAAATAAATTTAGTCCTAGAATAAGTTCCTCCCCAATTGGAGAATTTCCTTCCCTTTTTTCAATTAAAAAAAAAATCTTTTGAAACCATTGCTAATCCCAATTATCCCATGGAGACCATGTGAACATGTTATTTCTATTGAATTCACAATATACACTTTTAAAGACCTTTGAGATTTGCTGATCTCCTCCTCTGAGATCAACAGTCATCCACTTCATCAGGTATTGGGGGATGGTAAAATGAGATAAGATGGTAAGATGAGGACCTTGAACCCCAATGAGTTTCTAGCTGACTAATTCAAAAACCTTCTTATAGAGAATTACTATGACTTAAATACAGAGGAATGAATGCATCATTACCTTTTTGGGTTGCATAGAAGGTATATCAAGCTTGACAGACAAATGTAGAAACACGTTGCAAGAAAGGGGGAATCAAAGTCAATGAGGAAGAATTTTGTTTAACAGAAAGTTGTCATTCAACATGCTGTCCTACAGTCTCCTATGATCAAGTGAATGTAAAAACACGGTAAATAAACTTAAACCTATAGAGGAAAATCCCTATTAAATGAAACCTCACTAATTGAGAAGGAAATTCATAGTAAACAATTATCCCATCACATCATTCATGCACTATTTATTTTCACATTATGCCAAAACAAATGTCAAACCTCTAGCTTGCTGAGAGCTCCAGCATCCCTGGTGTCTTTCAGAATGCCCCTCTGTCAACAGAGCAGTGTTCATCTCACTGACCTTCAGTGCTAACTTCTGGAAAAACTGTTCCTGACCTTAGATGTAAGCTGCTTAAGTGCAAGAAGCAGAGCAAAGCAATAAGTCCCAGGTTCTTATTTTATGCATACAAAAATAAAACCAGGGACACAGGGAAATGGCTCAGTAATGAGTGCCTGCTTGTAGCCATGAGGCTGAGAGTTTGACTCCCAGACTTCACATGCCAAGTGAGAGATCCCAAAATCAAGTGATACCACACAGTATGTGATGTAACCAAGTATGGAAGAGCACCCCAACCAAAGTGTGCAGCCTCCCAACTCAACAAAACCATACTGAAACAAGCTTAAGCCACAACTAAAAAGTCTTCAAGTACTTCAAACAAAGTGTGTTGCTCCGTTGAGTATTACAACGAAGTAATAACTAAGTTTAACTAAGTATACAACTCTGAAGGGGGGATTTTTTTTCCCAATGATAAGCTGCAAAAACAGAAGCAGTGACATGAAGAGACTTACTAATTATTGTTTTTGATTGGTTGGGGTTTTTTGTTTGTTTTCACTCCACTCTATCCTAATTGTTGGGCAAAGCTCACCCTCTTCCCACATCAGTATAAATACAGATTAGAATTAATGGACAAAGTTTGATCAATTGATTGCTTACTCAGTACCACTGTGGATCTAAGGACCCTCTCCCTGATGGCCCTATGCTAAAATTTGCATTGTGCAGGGCCCAAACACTTGTCTAGTTTAGATAGCACATAGAATTTTGTGCCTTTGGACACTGCCAGTTGCTCAGAGCCACCATCCATGATAGACAGTGCACACAAGTCATTTTCTAGAGATGGGATATTAAGGGAAATACAAGCTCTAGTTCCTTTCATTGTAGCTTGTCCCTCTCCACTCAGTCGCCAGCAGGTACATAG